GGGGGAGAATAGGGGAACCCATGGCTGATATGTAGAACTGAATGATACTGTAAAATAAAAAATATATATCACAAAAAAATATATGTAGGCTTGAAAGAGACAAAAAAAGATGATATATACAGTTATATAAAGAAATACATAGTTTTAAAAAATAAAGTCTTTACAGAGACAGTAAAATCAATATAAAAAATAAGCCACATAAAGATGGATATTACACAGAGAATCTGGATTGTGTTGTCTTTGGGATTTTTAACTGCAGAAAAACATTTGATTGTAAAAACTGTTGAGTTAAGTCAATATGTATATTTTAAAGGTATCTTGACTTCAAAATTTAGATGTAAGGATATGTTGTTTTGGAAAGGAGGCCCTGATTTTGTTTCCACAGAAAGCCAGAGGCTATGGATTTGTTCCAGATTAAGATCCATCAGGTTTGACCAGCCAAGACCCCCTGAAAGGTCTCCAATGACACCATGGCCCAGATGATCCAACATCCAGAATGGTTTCAAGGCAACTGGCTCAGAGGATACACCCTCACGGACTACTCCATAATCCTAAAATTTTCTTTGTGTCCCCATAAGATACAGTGCCCCCTTCCAGCAGGAAGTAGTAAGAGAAGCTATGCCCAAATTCCCAAATATACCAAGCTGGCTTTGGAGATAGAATTGGCTCATTCCTTCTCTAAACCCAAACATATTGCAAAAAAAAAAAAAAAGGTTGAGAGATTCTTTTGTTCCATATCAGAAGAGCCCTCTGGTGTGGGACAGAGAAAATCCAATATTTTTATTTAAATCGGGTTGATTATAAATGTGATCTCTTTCTAAAGAAGAAAAGGGGATATGATATAGATATGACAGGATGAAAAGGTAGATTATTTAATCTACTTTTAAAGAGCAACTTCTTTAAAATGTTTTACATTGCTATGGATTTTAGTTTATTGATACAAGTTTAAACTTAATTTTGTTATACTGTATATATATTTCTGCTCTTATTTGAGGTTTTATGTTTATGTAACTCATTTAGATTGTAATGGTAATTAAGAAATACAGATTAATAATTAGTCTTCTATGATAGTCAAACTTGTAGCATGTTAGTTAAGTTTTCTAGGTATACATAGATATATTTCAGATAGATAGGTAATCTTTAAACACTTCAAAGACCAATAGAATATAGCATTTAAAATGTTTTAAAAATTTAGACTTTCTGGACAGTGAGACATGTCTGCTCCTGGCAGCACCGGATTTACTTCAGAAAGGAGGATGGGCATCTAAGACACTCCATATGGAGTTTATCTTCACCTTGGAAAAATAGCCATTTGGGCAAGAAATTGTTCTTGCCTGGACTGCTTGAAAAAATGTATCAACTGGACATGCAGGACCCATAGGAAGGTGACCACTGAACTTTGCTTGGCAAAATGGTCCTTCAGGTTCCTACTTTGCAGAGGAAACTGCCATACATTCTACAGGACACAGAGAAAAGTGACTGATAGACTCTAGGCCTGTGGACTGAAGACAGATGCCCCAACTTGACAAAGAAACTTTGGAATACTGTCCAGGCTGCCAGCTGTCTCTGTCTACTCTCACAAGACCCCGAAAGTTGCTTGTGTCCTTCTCCCATTTCTCGGGTAATATTATATCCTTCTGAAGTCTTTGATGTAGTTAAAGACTAGATAGTTATAATTTTCCTTAGTTATGATAAAAGATAAGTTAGATATGAAACCTTAGACTCATAAATATAAGACAGATAGGATATCTTCTTTAATTTTGCCAAATACAAATAGACTATTATTATAAATAGACTAGATATTGTAACTATAATTCTTGCTTGATAATTGTTGTGTTATCTGTAATTTTACTGTGTGAAAGTTAAAACCTTCCTTAAAAAAAAAAGAAAAAGAAAAGGGGAAGTGCTGTGGGATATTCTGTATGTTAAATGTGTTGCTCTGACTGGTTAATAAATAAAACACTGATTGGCCAGTAGCCAGGCAGGAAGTATATGCAGAAAAAGCAGAGAAGAGAATTCTGGGGACAGGAAGGCTGAGGCAGAGAGACACTGCCAGCTGCCACCATGAAAAGTGAAATGTAAGGTACCAATAAGCCATGAGCCACGTGGCAACTTATAGACTAATAGATATGGGTTAATTTAAGATATAAGAACTTAGGGCCGGGCGGTGGTGGTGCACGCCTTTAATCCCAGCACTCGGGAGGCAGAGATAGGCGGATCTTTGTGAGTTCGAGGCCAGCCTGGGCTACCAAGTGAGTTCCAGGAAAGGCACAAAGCTACACAGAGAAACCCTGTCTCGAAAAACTTTAAAAAAAAAAAAAAAGATATAAGAACTAGAAAACAAGAAGCCTGCTGTGGCCATACAGTTTATAAGCAATATAAGTTTCTGTGTGTTTACTTGGTTGGGTCTAAGTGGCTGCAGGACTGGCAGGTGAGAGATTTGTCCTGACTGTGGACCAGGCAGGACCAGGAAAATGCCTGCTACAATCGAGTCCATATAACTGTGGACATCAGTTCCTCCCTGATTTACTAATTGAACAAGAAGAGTAAGATAAGCACTTAGTATTTTATGGCCCTTGCAGGGTAAATAGATCCATTCCAAAGTTTCTCCTCTTATGCTGTAATATCAGTAGCAGACAATGTGAAGGGAAAAAATATGTAAGTTTAAAGGCAGTGAAGGAGCCATACTGTACACAAATGCCTTTTAGTCTGGATTCAAATAGCTGTGGTTCTTTTCTTGCCTCTCAAAATAACATTCAAGGCCTGTCCAGTGCAGCCCCTCCTTCTAGAGTTTTAAATAGGTTGGGTAGTGCCTGATTAGGTAAACATTTTGATTTTGCTGAAATTGCCCTTGGAAGTACCAAGAGCAGTTCATGAGGCTGTGGAAGAACTGGGAACTGAATTCCATTCCTCTGGCCTGCCCTAGCTTGCCTAGGTTGTAAACTTAGCATTTTTTTTATTTTTTATTTTTTTTAAACTTAGCATTTCTATAGGCTCTCCCAAATCCTCACCAGGAAGTGGAGAGGATTGAAGATTAGATTATCAAATTCCTCACCACATGCTTCAGGGTCACTTGCAGTCAATGGAGGATCCATATCTAAAGGACCCAGGAAGGGAGCTCAGGAAAGTGTCACTGTCACAGTTGTCAGTGGTGCTGTTTGGACTTTTACTTTTTCCTAAATGGGAAAAGAAATCTCATTTTGCCTCTTTTACCAATTGTAAGGTTTGATCATCCAGTTTGTATTCACTCAATGAATTAGCCATCTCTTCCTCATGATTAATATCCTCCTTATCTTCCTTAAGCATTTTAATAAGTCTTAATTAATGCCCAGGTGACCTGGAATTGAACAGAGTTCTTTTGCCCTGTCCCTATTTCTTCATCTGAAATTCCTTCTTCTAGAAACCATCAATTATGGGACTGGAGAGATGGCTCTGTGGTTAAGAACAGGGACTGCTCTTCCAGAGGACCCAGGTTTAATTCCTAGCACCAACATGGCAGCTCACAACTGTCTGTAACTCCAGTTCCAGGGGATCCCGTCACCTCATATACACATACATGCAGGCAAAACACCCATGTACAAAAATTAAAAATAATAAATAAATTTTAGAAACCAGTGATTATATACTTGTGTTCCTCCTTTCTTTTAAAAAAAAAAAAGATACACAAGCTTGACAAAAGGCAAAATCCTCCCTGGTTTCTGCCCCATCATGCTCACTCACCTTTCTGTGAGGGCCCTCACTGTCTTATAGCTGACTTCAGGTCCCTGATTCGTGGTGCCACTTGTTTACCGCTCTCGTTGGCAGTGTGAACCTGGGAGAACAGGGCCTAAAAATGAGGTGAACTAAAGTCTCATGCAATAGTTAACTTTAGTCAGAGCATCGGGCATTTATACTGTGGGGGTTAAGAAGAATCACGTGAGTGGAGTACACAATCACAATGATGAGCAGCAGGTGGCAAAAACATCTTTCTCCACAGAAGCACATGAATAACTACAGCTGAAAAAAGCTCACTCCAATCCACTACACCTGGGAAAGCCACGAAAACACATTCCAAGAACTGTTCCATATTCTGAAGAAACTGAGGTCACAAGACTCTTATTTTCTTGGTGTTTTCTCACAAGCACTCAGAATTCTCCCACAACTCCATTCTTGGACTATGTTCTTGGGTATGTTGCTTAATAACAAATAGCTGTATCATTCCCTCATGCTAGTGTCCCCAAGTGCAGAAAACAGGGTATTACAGTTTGAATATGAACTGTCTCCCACAGGCTCATGGCATATACATATATGGTGATTCTATTTAGGGGATAGCAGAACCTTTAATAGGTAGTACCTATCTGGAAAAAGCAGGTCACTGGGGACCAGTCCTTATGGATATAGTAGCCCAGGAATCTTGTTGTGCTTTTTCCCTTGTGCCATGCAAAAAAGACTATGCCCCCACACACACTCTCATCATCATGCCTTCTGCTCCATGACAAACTTAAATCACTCTGAAACTGTGAACCAAGTTAAACATTTCCTCCCCTAAGTCATTTCTGTCAAGCATGTTGTAATTAGAAAATTAACTAATACATAGAGAGAAGTACTTCTCAGAGAAATTCCCCTGAGACTCCCTTGACAACAACTGTGTCATATAACTGCCTACAAGATCAAGTAGGATATTTTTTATTATTTTCCCAGTGTGAGGGAGACACCAGAAAAGAGGAACGATTAGTGGATAATGAGATGAGGTGACAGCATCTGCCGCAGCATGGCAGAGAGGCTGTATCTTGAAAGGAAATGCCGAGGCAGAGGGATTCCCCATCAACTATCCCAGACATGACAGCCAGACCAATTGAACCCCATTTCCCTGTGGGAATGGGGATCCTAATACCCTTGTTTGGATGTCTCAGTCTTGTATTGGACTAAGTGGTTGAAGAGGTCTTTACCATGACAAATGTTTATAGAAAATCCCCCGTAACTGAATCCTGCAGGCTCAAAGCACTGTCATCATGCAAGAAGTATTAGGAAAGTCCATATTATGCCCTTCTGGAAGCCTGGCTGCAGCCACCAGTTAGGGCTTCACCCCTGAATCCATGTTAGGAACTTCCAGACTTGCCCTGGCCCTACTCAGGCGAGGGGTGGCGTTACCATCCCAGGGCTGACCTATGCCCCTTCCACCCTTGGACTTGTATAAGAGACCAAGGTCACATAGCAGTTTCTGTAGTAGGCTTTTGAGATATCCTGACAACTGGGTGTCCTGATAAAACTAGATGAGCCCTATCCTCACAGGCAGAATTCCAAATCACAGTTGCAGTTAATGTCTAAGTGGCATTTGCTATGAGCTGGAAATAAATTTCATGCCCTTTTGTTTACTGAATGAGACATAGAGAAATTAAGAAATGTGTTCAAGGTAACACAACTAATTAGGCAGCAATGCCAGAATTTGAAGCTAGGCAGCTTGCTCTGGAATCTAGTCTCTTCGCCACTTGACTGTCTCTTATCCAAGGAAATTCTGCAAAATAGCTGTAAGGAGAGAAAGAAGCCCAAAATGAATGATGTCCCAAGAGAATGTGTATTGTTGACATAGGCACAACCATGACAAAACCCAAGGCCTCAGGCCCATGGGAAACTGGCCAAACCTATCCCCATATGGGTCCAGCTCAGGATTGATAAAATCTCCTTCCCCTAGTCCAAATATGAGTATTTACAAATGATTGATTCATGTGTATAAAAACTAGCTTCCTCCTCGTGGATGTTTAGGACTTGAGACTGCTTATCTACAGAGACTTCCTACTGACCCTAGCTAACAATACTCCCTCCCCACACCTCCTCTGCCGTATATAATAAACACTGCTGAGGTCACAGGATACAGAGGAAGTAGGTGCACCTCCATCACAGCATGCATAGTGCACCTGACTACAGAGTTTTTGGTACATGTGTCTATCATTTCTTCATCAACTCGCCACCCCTAGTCAGGGTTCCAGACCCAAGCTTTGCAGGTCATAGCACACAGCCAAAAATAGTTGTCAGCTCATAGAGGCAACAGGAAACATACGGATGAAGTGGGGAGGAATGATAGGCACTGTCCTTTGTTTTTTTCTGTGATTCCCCCCCTCCCTGGTCTGGAGCCTTTACCCAGCTCTGTGGCAACAGCTCATGGTGGTTTCTGTACTTGGGAGGCCCTTGGCCAGGCAAGATCAGCCACGGCTCATGTTAGAATAGGGTTGTCACTCAGGTTACACTCACCATTTCCATATATTGTAGTCTTTGTGAACTTTTTAAGATATATAAACAAAACATCTTGCTTCTGCTGAAGTTACTTCAGAGAGATTTTTAAGACTGCCTGCTTAATGCTGACATGAAATAACTCTGGTCTTAACTCTTGGAGTTATCCCACACCAATACCTCAAACACACAGCTTTCTCCAATCAGTTTTAATTACTGTCGTCGATGGGTGTTTTTATTTGTTTGTTTACTTGTGAAGTGCCAAATATAAAATTCACTTTAAGAAGGCCTTTTATACAGATAGAATTCACTCAGGGTTCTTATCAAAACTTGTTTACTACTTTATAAAATAAACTAAATCTGAGCTACAATACAAGGACTGTTTATGAAAAATAATATTTTGAGATAATAATGATTAAAATGAATCTCCCTCTGATTTTGGACAAAACACTTAGGTAACACTGATTCTTGTCTAGGCAAATACAAAAATTCTCAAAGCTCAAAAATTATATTCAATCTAGGGGCTGGAAGTAGAATCAGTATTAGAACACACGCTTAGCATGCATAAGGCCCCACCTAGGGTTGATTCCCAGCACCATAAATCATAACCTAAGTCTGGCATTTAGGATTTGCTTTGGGATGGTGTATGAGTCACAGAGCAGATACATCAACTATCCAGCCAAATGATGACTCTCTAATTATAAAATCCAATTCTGGGGCTGCCATTACCTCATCTCAAATGGCATACAATGTGTGACACTAATGACATAACCACCAACAAGTACTTCATTCAACCTCTTTGACTGCTTCACACTTACTTTAAAAGATGAGCGCCGGGCGGTGGTGGCTCAGACCTTTGATCCCAGCACTTGGGAGGCAGAGGCAGGTGGATCTCTGTGAGTTCGAGGCTAGCCTGGTCTACAGAGCGAGATCCAGGAAAGGCACAAAGCTACACAGAGAAACCCTGTCTCGAAAAACAAACAAACAAAAAAAAAAAAAAAAAAAGATGAGCAATACAGAATAAAAACTTTATTCTGCACTGTTGAACTAGAAACTGAAGTTTTTGGACACAGTACAAAAACCACTAACTTAGACGTTCTTGTTGCACTGATTAAGGATAAGGACTGGCCTTGGGTAAGAGGATGAACCACAAAACTGGCAACCCCCTGACTCTGATGTTCCAACTTTCCAGGCTGTTTAGATCCATTCAGATGGGCCACCCAGACTCATAGAAAATGAATATTGGCAGCGACATTCCAAATTAGCAGCTCAAAGCTGAAATGTAGTTTCTGGGAAGAGCAATGGATAATATGCTCCCTTCCTTTCAAGACAACCTGTCTGCAAGGTAGAGAAAACCAGGAATCATGTGACTAGGTGAGGGTAGCCTGTGGCAACAACTTCAAAACTTACAACCAGAAAAGTGTATTTCTTATTTGTGTCTTTCACAGCTCTGTGCTCTTCTGTTACTTCAGGCCACAGAGGCAAATGGAAGCGAAACCTCATGAACCAAAGCAGGGGTGCTAGAAGGAGGAGAGGGAGAGCGTTTAGGAGAACAGAAATGTAACTTACCACAAGTCATGGAATTCTCTGTCAGAAGGGCTTCAAGATTTTTTTCAAAACTGCCCCCTTACAACTCTGTTACCTAGGAAAGTGTGTGTGTGTGTGTGTGTGTGTGTGTGTGTGTGTGTGTGTGTGTGTGTTATGTATGTGTTGCATATATGTTGTTTGTGCATGTGGAGGCCTAGGGTCAATATTGAGTGTCTTTCCTCAATCACTCTCCACCCTTATTTTTTGAGACAAAATTTCTCACTGAACACGAAGCTCATCAATTCAGTTAGCCTGGCTGACCAATGATTCAGCAATCAACTATCTCTACCCCTTACCCCAAGGCTGAGGTTATAGGAGCATGCTGCCACCTCTAGCTTTTTATGTGGTTTCTGGGGACCTGAACTCAAGTCCTCCTGCTTGTTGGGCAGGCATTTTACAAACTGAGTCTTTTCCCCAGCCACCAACAAACTTTTACAAAAATGTCTATTTTGTTTCTAATTGTGTGTTTATGGGGGAGGGAGATTTAAGTGCACATGCATGCAAGTGCCCATAAAGGCCAGAAGAGGGTGCCAGATACCCTGGAGTTACAGGTAGTTATGAGCTGCCCAACATTGCTAACTGGTCCTCTGGAAGAGCAGCCAGAGCTTTTAATTACTGAGCCATTTCTCCATTCCCATCTTAACAAACTCTTTATTGTGGATTTTTTATCTCACTTCCTAGAGCTTATTTTCATAAACAATAAAATAAAGGGACTAGATTCTATTACTCTGAAAATGCTTTCAAACTTGGAAGGTGAGAGGAACCTTCCACTAGCTAGGGCCTATACCATACTACCAAAGTTTTTTTCTAAAATTTTGTCTGACTTTTAGAAAGTACCTTATTTGAAATAACATATTTAAAAACCTGATATTTCAACTGGCATTCTACATTTGAACTCTAGAACACAGAAGATGATTTTAGTCATGCTAGTCTCAATTCTTCCACAGAGAATTGATAGCAAATTTCATGCTAAAACAAACTTCTGGAACAGAAACTAAAGGAAAGAATTTATTGCATACAATTCATGCCCATGGCCCACTGTGGTCTAAGTCTCTCTTGGAGTCCGTTTGGGAAAAACACAATTGTCCTTTGCTTCTTTGATTTGGATGTGGAAGAGCTTGGCTCAATCCTTCCCAAACCTTATGAGGAAGTCCATGCCTTGTCCAGGTGTCTGCAGAGTCCTAGGAGCCCCTGATTCCTGCCTAATTTTTGCTAAGATTTCTGGTTCTTGGTGAGTACCACAAGTACATTTCTTACTGTCATTTACCTTGTCTCTGTCCAGGTGGGAAACAC